ACTTTCTTTACAAATGTGGTTATTCAACCAAAAGACACATCTGATCTATGTATATTGCTTGATTCTGTGTGCAGAAGACATCCATTAAGTGTGCTTGGGAATCACACTGAGTGTGGTGATGTAACATTAGGCCTGGGATATGGTTACTAGAGAGGTCCAAAGAGTTCTCCCCAAAGGGGATGGGGAATTACCCTGTGGAAAAGGTTTTTCTTTTTGGTACTGGGGATCAAAGTCAGGACCTTACACATGCAAGGCAGGCAATGGCACCACTGAGCTAAATCCCCAGTCCTGGAAAAGGTTCTTAACTCACTGTCACAGGAGAATTTTGACTTTTCAGTGAGAGGCACGGGCAGATTTACTACGCAAAGTTAGCAAGTAAGAGAAGGCAGGGAAATGACTTCAGCTTGATTAGCTGAAAGGTGCACAGATCTGATGAAGAGGACAAGGCTAGTCTTTTAACAAAAGAACCAAAGCAGCCTTTATGGATTAGCTGAGGTGGGATAAAGTCTGGATGGTTATCTCAGTTTTGTTTTTCCAAGATGACTCCAGGAGAAATCCTTACTGCTTGAGGGGACAATTTGGTTTTAATTTTGTGCAGGCTCTGCTGGAATCCAAGTTGACCACAGCTTAAAGGCAATGACTGGAGATTCCTGGGTACTTAATTATTGAATGTCCCTGTAAACGTCTCATCTTAGTCTTGGAGGGGGATGAGATAGGTCATGCAAATTCAGGGCTAGTCAGCCTTGTTTGCCAACTTTGAGAAATACTCCCTAAATGATTAACATGCCAAGCAAGAAATTGACCCAAAGGTTTAAGGTAATAAGGGAGAGAGATACAAAATGAAAGTCAAATTTTGTTCCTGCTTTTAGCTACCTATTAGGTATCTGTAGGTCCAAGTGAAGAGGCACTGATGTTTTTGTTTTGAAAGAGGAGCTGTCAAGCCCAACTACCTCAGAAGAAAACAAATCATGCCTCTATCAAGTCACAGGCTGAGTGTCCAGGAGTTTGGCTGTCCTCTGTCCTTATGGTGATCTGCGTCAGTGATGTATCTAACCTAGTTTGCAGGTGCTCTCCTCTAGTTGGCTAGGCTGTCAAAGGTCAATGTTCAAAATGTATCATAAATAAAAAAGTCCATGCCTGAAAGAACTTCATCTAGTGAAATGTTCTGATGCATTAACCTGTCTCCCTAAATAAGACAAAATCAGCTAACTCTTATTTTAGGCCTGGGTCTTAGGACAAAGCCATGAAGGAAACCCAAGAGAAGCAGGTTCTGCTCTGATGGGTGGGGCCACAGGGATCCATCCATAAAGGGCTGAGCCTGAGCGATAGATTGGTGCTAGTATGGTTGACCTCAGCCCGAGATTCAATTTGTCCTTCAGTGGTTCCCACTGCAGAAAAGATGGTGACTTTCAAAGCTTCCAGAGGTCCTAGATTAACATCACCACCATAATAACCACACCCATCCCTACCACACCTGGATCCAGGAGTACTTATAATGCCCCGAGGGAGTAGGGAGTAAAGAGGATAGGAGATTAGGACTATGGTTCTCCTTTCTTTTGGTACCGGGGATTGAACTCAGGACCTTGCACTTGCCAGGCAGGCCCAGCACCACTGAGCTAAATCACCCACCCCTCCTTTCTTTTGGTACACAATAAATAAGCCACTTTTCTTTCATTAAAAAAAGTGAAAGAAAAAAAAAGTGCTTAGAATTAAGGAGTACTTAATTTGGCTGAAGATGTAGGTGGATTAGAAAGATCAGAAATAAGAATGATTGAAATTACCTAACAGAAGACATCTGAAGGTCTAGCCACGTCAGAGTATTCTAAATAGGTGGCAGAGAATATGTCTGCAGCACCGCAGCTTGTGCAGTTAGTACCTATTTAAACATCAAGGTCCAAATCTCCAGGGAAGAGATGCTGACCTGGACTGGCCTATTCTTTCAATCACTATTGTCTCCAGGGAACACAGGAATGTGTGGAACCACCAAAGATACAAGAACAAAGCCACAAGTCCAGCAGGACATGGTCGCGCAGGCTGAGGCAGGAGGCTTGCCAAGCTTGAGCCACAGGAAAAGAGAGACACTAGCTCAAAATAAAATTTTTCAAAAGGCTGAGGATGTAGCTCAGTGTGAAGGCCCTGTGAGTCCCCAGTACTGCCACCAAATAAAAAAAGTTACAAGTCTATAAAAGCCCACATTCTGAGACACACTAACCTATCAATTTCTCCCTCAAAAAGACAAAAGCTGAGGCTTCTCATGGATGATGAAATAAAGTATATGGGCCTTGACCCAGATTACTTTTTTTTTTTTTGTTACTGGGGATCAAACTCAGGACCTTGTGATTGCAAGGCAGGCGCAGTGCCACGGAGCTAAATCCCCGGCCTTGATCCAGAGTATTTCATGAAGAAATGCGACACCATCATGCTTTTTGCCTAAGATGCCCAAACAAAATACATAGAGGGACGGCAGAAAATTCTCCTGCCTCCTGAACTCTGCTACTGCTGTGTGAGGACACAGATGTTAAATGGAATTTTCTGATCGTCAGTGTTTAAAAAAAAATTTTTTTTTGAACCAGCAAATAGCAAAGGCCACAGCAGAAAATTTACTGGGATTATTTTGCTAAACAATTCATATATATTCAACATCACTGAATGGAAATATTAATTCAAAAAATACCCAAGACTCAAAGTAGGTCTTTAAAGAAACTCAAAAGCTTCTCAGTGACTGTTATTTTTAACAAATGTAATGACCAAACCAATGAAGTCAGACGTATCTCAATCAACTCCAAAGTTCAATATTGCCAACATGTTTTTCTATTTAAAAGCAAATAAAAAAGAAAAGCCTTGTAATTTAGTAATTACAATGTTTCTTGGTTCTGTTCTCAAATGCTACAGTAAGATATCTGATTAAAGGCAGAAAAACACCTAGTCTTAGAAGTTTTTAAAATTGTAAGGCTGCTCTTACAATTATCAGTATAAATATTTAGATTCCCATCTGACAGATTTCTTTACTTGTGTGAACAGGAGTGCTCTCAAAAACTTTCAATCTTGCTTAATTATAGCTGGGTGATTAAACCACCAAAAATCTCCTCTATATTGGCTGGCCTGCAGGGTTAGATAAAAACTTGTTATAAACTCTTCAAAGAAACTGTGATGATCACAGTACAAATTCTGGTGACCACAATGCTATAGTACTAAGGGATACTTTGTTGCCTAATAGAAAACAGGGATTTAGCTCAGTGGTTCCACCACCTGCCTCGAAAGCACAAGGACCCAAGTTCGATCCCCGGTACCAAAAAAAAAAGAAAACATTAAAAATATTCACATTAATAAGCAAATTTCATAACATGCATAGAAATAAATGACTCTATTACAATATATGAATAATCACTAACTTGTCCTCACTATTCCCAATTACTTTACAGTATTTCTTTTCCTGTGGTGAAGATCAAAGCCAAGGCCTTGTGCATGCTAGGCAAACACACTACTACTGAGCTATACCCCTAGTTCTTCCCAAAGACTCTGAGAGCTTGTGCAGGTTCTGGCAGGGGAGTGCAGCGACTCATATACCCTTGACCAAGGAAACGGTCCTCCCGTATCCCACCAAGCATGGAGCGGTGAGGGAGCAAGGGGCACCTGCCCAGCCAGCCAGATCAGCCAGATCAACCTGGCAAGCTATGGGGTGACAAATGTTCCAGCCAGATGGTCTTACATCCCTTTCCCAATGACTTTAAATATAAAATCTAATTATATAAAGACAAAAATTCCATGTCCTATTAAACCCTGTATACCAAACAGTGTAAGTGCTGAAAATGAGAAACATTTAAGAAATCTCCATTAAAAACCTCGGATAGCACTTAGCAATAGTGATAGAAGGAAAAGGAAAAAAAGAAAAACAAATTTCTCAGAGAATTTTAAAGAAAGAACAGATATAAAAGAAAATTCCTTTGGACGCTATAGCCTTTTTACACATTTTGTGCCTTTCAATGCTTCAACATGATGTCTAAAAAAAAAAAAGGGTCGGAAAGAGAATCAAAAACATTTATAAGATATATTTATTATTTTTCTGACCAAAGTGCAATGATTTCTAAAATATTTTTAAACAAATAACTATGAAAAAAGCATTCCAGAAAATAAAATAAAAATGGGCAGCACTCTAACCATTAGATTTCTTTTTCTAATTTTACCCTAACCCCGAATTTAGTTTAGGAAACAAACGCAAAACCTGAATTGTTACTAACGTGAGAACTGAATCCTTTCAGCATAAATCTAGCACATGCATTTCAAGGTTCTATTGCTATGAATTGTGATCATTTTAATCATGAACAACACCATATAACCAAGCATAAGGAACACAATATTAGACATGATCATTGTCCCATACACTCAGATTACGTTATAATAAAGCTAACAGTTCTGTCAGGCTCTGAATCCCTTGTGTTCCCAACCCAAACCTTGGAAGCAAAGACTATGGCCTATCATACAACTTTGCACAAGCTGCAGAAGTTTTATCTTTCTCTAGGAAATGGTCAGTTATTTGATAAATATTAAAACATTGCTAGCAATCCATTTTCTGAGTTTGTTTACCAAACATCTTATGCAAGAACTGACTACATAAAAAGTTCCTTTGAAATTTGGTCCACAAATTCACTTAACAGGTTGGAAATTTGAAACCTGCAAGAAAAGGAAGTGGGAATCCCTAACCCTAACATGTTGTAATTTACATTTTTTGTCTTGTTTTGTCTGAGACAGGGTCTCACTATGTAGATGAGGCTGGCCTTGAACTCACTAGGTAGCTCAGGCTGGCCTCAAACTCACATCAATCTTCCTGCCTCAGCCTCCCGAGTACTTGGATTACAGGTGTGGCCACCTTGCCCAGCTCTTCTGTTATAATTACTAAAGGGATACAACATGCATACTAAAAATTTTTGCTCACACAAGGCACAAACTACAAAAGGGGTAGTCTTTTCAATAAAATCAAAGAACTACCTGATGCCTTTGTTTTGTGAGCACCACAGTAACTAAGATGAAGTTAAACCTGAATTCATTATCTTCTCTTGTGACCAAAAGAAGAAAATTAAAAATTTAATGTCTGACTATGTATTTTGTAGCTATTAATTGAGATGTAATTTTGAAAGATTAAAACTGCCTTAAAAAGGGGTTGGATAGCAGCTATCAAAGCAATATTCAAGCATGATTTCAAGGATGCTTTCAGGTTTAGAGTTAGCCTTCTTTATCAAAAATCTTCACAACTTCACCAAACACCTGTAAAGGAAAAAAGATAATCTTAAATACAGATATTGTTAAAATATCATATAGCATATATGAGGCCTTCCATTCAATTCCCAGCACCAAAATAAAACAAAACAAAACACCAGAATACATACCCCTTACCATGTAGCTAAGTTCCTAACCATAAATTTTATATTATTTTTTAGTGGATCATTTGAAAAATCACATAATTTCTTCATCTATTTTACTTTAGACATGAACTTAAAAAAAGATCAAGTGAATCATCTTCCTCTGGACCTTTCTTTATTACATTCTAAGAGGAAGATTCAGAGAAACAGGGGAAGGCAGAATTGGTAAATAAACACATTCCCGTGGCTTGAACCACTGGTGGCACACACATGACTGTGGTATAAGCTGCCTGATAGCACAGTCATGAACATATGGCCCTCTGATGAATGTGAAAAGACACCGGGAGTATTTGCAGGCACTGTAGGCTCAAATCACAATTTAGAGATCACTGATTTGTGAAGGGAGAAAAGTGGTAAGGCATGAACCCTGCACCTTGGGAGCTATTTGTTCTGGGATGGAAGAAAAAAAAAGTAGCCTGGGGCTCTTGAGCTAGATGACTTGACAGTCACACTATAGATTTTGAAAAAGAGAACATGATCCAAGTCACAGAACTCAAAGTATCAATTTCCCAGTGTTTGGGCAAAGAAATTTGGAATTAATAAACCACCCACATCTCATGAAAAGCAAGTCTAAAGTTATAAAACCCATTTAGACCTATTCAAAAAGGAAAAAAACCTAATTTTTTCATTTTAGTGTCAAATGAGACAAAAAAAACTAATCCATTATAGTATTTCTTTTTCTCCCGCCTATATCAAAAGAAATAATCACATTTCTCTGGACTTTTTCTTCAAAGACAGGTCAGAGGCACTCACTTCATCGACAGATTTAGATGCATCTATTTTCTTGACTTTCCCCATTTCTTCATATAAGTCAATAATTGGCTTTGTTGACTGAAGATAAGTCTGAATCCTGCAAGAGAAGCAAATGTTATAACATTCTAGGTACCAACCCCTCCTCCTCCACGTTACAGGTGGCTTAGAGGACAACACCAGGTGTGATTCCACTAATTTACCCATCTCTTCACAAGGCCCTGCACCAAGGTAAGCATGACATGTTCTTCCTCTGGACCAAAACGGGGCAGGAATTTAATATGTCACTCAAATTCCACACTGGCATTAAGGTGATTAAATGCAAAAACTGAGAAGTACCTCTTTTCCAAGCTCTCTCTGTTGTCATCACTTCTACCACTACTCTTTCCCCTCTCAAGACATCGTTCAACACAGATCTAAAAAGAGATTTATTTTAAAAAGTTATTTTAGAAACAGAAAAATATGAACTTGCCATTCTTTTAACCTCCCAAAAAATAAAGTTTGAAGAGACTACCAAAAAAATCCTACATTAAACTCAATGTGTCTAATTCATTAATCAACATGCAGTCTTTTAAAATTTAAACATGTGGTTCAGTTTATATAAACTAGGTTAAATAAGTATAGAGCATAATAAGAATTCATTCATGACTCAGTTTTTCCTGTGTGTATTTTTTTTCAAACCGCAATAAAGATCTGTATGTATATAGTTCCATCTCAGATATATTATTAACTTATTAGGTATGAATTACATGCCTCAAACTTTGTTCCATTTTTACTTACTTTACGATAATTCCATAAATATCCAGATATTTAAGTCAACACATTTGAATAAAGCATCTCTTGTTAATCGTGAATAAACATTCCTTAGTTATAAAGCTGTGGTAACATTTTAAAGTTAACTTTGAAGAATAAGTGAAAACATATTTTTGGGGGTTGGAATAAGAGAGTTACATTTTTAAAACAACTGAAAGCCTATAGAGAGACTCTCTACCAAAGACACATTTGTGACTCAGCCTAAGAATAGCCAACTTCCTCAAGGCACTACTTCAGATTCTTTTTCTTTAAGGCCATTGGCATTAATTTAATGACATTTATATTACAGCTGTCAAACAGAATCATGCTTTTTAATTAAATGATTCCAGGAAATTCATTTAGTTATTCAAAAGTATATCTGGGTATGTTGTGAGAAATCTTAGAAAAAAGCAAAATAAAACAAAAATTCTTTATTTCCCCTGGTACTGAGTCCTGAGCAAAGGGTCTTCCTACTAAGCAACATACACAGCCCTTTCTACTTTTTGAGACAGTCACTAAATTGCCAAGGCTGGGATTATAAGGCATGTACCTTTTCTTGTTATTTTTCTGAGGTCCTTTTATTCTTAAAAGATAAACCAAATTACAGTCCAACTTTCAAAAAACTTGTTGCTTTTCCAGTAAACACACTCTCTGAAAATAGTGCAAACACAAGAAAGTAGTAGTTTACCTTCATTACCTAACATTATTGTGGATACTGATTTTTATTTTGTAAAAACTGACTTGTTTGTTTGTTTTTTAAATAGCATAATTTAGGTTCACAAGATTGCTGATGCCCAACAGCATATAATAAATACACCATGAACAAATTAGTGTTTTTCGGTCTACCCAATCTACCAACTCAAAAACAAAAAAAACTTCTGCCAATAGAAAATGTAAATATAAATAAATAAAAGATCACTTAATAGTTGACCACTAGTTGCTTAAAGTCTACATGGGCAGATGAAGATTTTACATTACCTCATTATTACAGTCAAAAAACAGAACAAAAGACACATCTGCTTTCCCATCCATGGTCTTGTTCCAACCTTGAAGGTTGTCTTGATTCCTTGGAAACCCATCAATCAAGAATTTATTCTTCTGAGCATTGGCAGCCATTGTTTGATCCATTTCCTAAAGAAAAAAGATGAAGGTTCAATACTACATTAACAAAGGGCATTAAGCAAGAGAGTGAGTACAATTTGTTTTACTGTATACCATGTATGTATGTACCATAAGGGAAGAGGAGGAGTACAAGGTACAATGAAAAACAGATTAGATGGAAATGAAACAATGTATTAAGATGGCTGCCTCAAGCTAGTAGAGTTATGGGTATGTGACCCCTCTTCTCATTTTTTTACACACACACAATATTTTTGCAGTTTCCAAGTTTTATAGAGTGAGTATATACTATAGTTTGGATGTTGACTGTCCCCAAAGGTCTATGTACTAGGCTTGAGTACCAGGGTGGCACTACTGGGAGGCCCTGTGGAGGTCTCTGGGTCACTGGGAACATACTCCTGCCCCTTTGTTTTTTTTCTGTTCTTTCCTGTGATTAAGTGAACCAATTCCATATGAGCTTTTTTTTTTGGTACCGAGATTGAACTCAGGTCCTTGCGCTTGCGAGGCAGGCAGCAGAACCACTAAGCTAAATCCCCGGCTCTCCATATGAGCTTCTTGTCTTTACCATTTAGCATCCCCACCAGAGGCTCCCAGAAATGGTCCATTCCATCTTAGACTGGCATTCCAAAACTATGAGCAAAAATAAACCTTTCTTCGATATTTTATTATTGTGACAGAAAACTAATAAAAGCATTACGTTGGCCAGCTTTCTTACTGCCAAGACAAAATACCCATCATCCACAATTTAAAGAGGGAGTGGTTTTCTTTGGCTCACAGTTTCAGAAGTTTCAGTCCATGGCAAGCTGGCTCCGAGACAGGGTTCTGGAGGAAGGATGTCGTGAGGCAAATCTGCTCTCTTCATGGCAGTCAGGAAGCAGACTATAGGGAATGGGGCCAGAGAGAGATATATCCTCCAAAGGTATGCTCCTGGGACCAACTCCCCCAAATGGGCTCCACCTCCCTACAGCACCTTCAGTCATGAGCATTATGGGATTATTTAGTGATGAGTACAGTGCCCTATGATCTATCACTTCTCCAGGAGTCTAAGAGTTCAGGTAAGTTGACAATATGAATTGGTGCATGCATATATTACTTTCACATATAAATCCACAAAGTTGTAAACAAATAATAAAAGCAACAATAAGAGGAAAATAACTATTAACCAAGATCTTTGCATGAGCAACATGAGATGGTCTTGCCCTCCCTCTGATTTTCCCAAGTCATTCTGCTGTGGTAAAAAGTATGCTATTTCCACAGGAGCTCAACTTTGCTATCATTCAAGTACAACAGCAAAAAAATCTGTGGCTGAGGGCTGGTGATTTAGCTTCGTGGTTCCGCTGCCTGCCTCGCAAACTCAAGGACCCGAGTTCGATCCCCGGTACCAAAAAGAAAAAAGAAACCTTTGGCTGAGCATAGTGGCACACGCCTATAATCCCAGCACTGAGGCGCTGAAGTAGGAAGATCACTGTGAGATTGAGGCCAACATGGGCTACACAGTGAGGTCAGAGCCATCCTGAGCTACATAGGGAGACCCTACTTCAAAAAACAAGCAAAAAACAAAAAACTTTGGACAGATATAAAAACAGTGTTAGCATTATTAGTGTAGAATTCAATGTTTTTCAAAAACTGAAGCTAAGTCTAAATACCACTGACTGCCCAAAAACATGGGTAGAAAAAACAAGACATTACAGTCAAAAAGAGAGACTAACACAATTCAGTATTCTCTTTCAAAGTCTTCATTTAGATGAAATGTGAGAATGGGAGGTGCAGATTCCTAATCTCCAAGTCCTTGCCACTTCCACAGATGCCTGGTTTTAACAAACCTTGCAGGGGCCTCTAGCCCAAAGCAAACTGACATTCATGGTCCGCCATGCTCAAACTTTCCTGGTTCCTCAAGATGAACATGGCTGCCAGGATCCCTGATTACTTTCTTTTTTTTTTTTCTTTTTGTTACTGGGGGTTGAATTCAGGTCCTTGCCCTTGAGAGGCAGGTGGCGGAACCACTGAGCTAAATCTCCAGCCCGCTGATTACTTTTCTAAGGTTTGGCTTCTTTCCAACATTTAGCTGTTTCTCCAATATTCATAAAACTTCTACAAAACACCTGGGCTTTTGTAACTACCTTTTCTAAACCAATTATGATAGTGGAAGATATCTAAAGAAAGCACATCAATTATATTCACTCAACATACATTTATTTAACACCTACTGCCAGTGAATATGAAGAGCAAGGGCACTGCTCTTACCCTTGGAGGGCTCACCATGTAGTAGAGGCAGAGATGGATGAAGAACATCGTGAGTTTTCTAACATAGCAAAGGATGCTACGATAAAACAAAGAACTAAGTGTAAGTGTCTGAGAAACTGCCAGAGACAGATTTAGCAGAAAGCTGGCAGTGGATTTATATCACGAATAATAAAATGGCAAGCTTACAAGGATCAATGTCTGCTAGATGATGAAGGCTGAAAAATGAGAACGCATACAGCTTTGATGAATCCGAAGTAAGGAGATATAACTGATTCTTAAGATATGTGCAGAAAGTAATGGGAGACATGACTGGAAAGAAAGCAGGTTAAAGTGAGAGTGCTGACAGAGAAAAGAGATGAACAGAAAGGAAGAAAAAGATACCTGGAAAGATGTGCTCACTGAATAGATTTTGGAAAGTAAGGGAGACAGAGCATGTAAGATGGCTCTCAGTTCTGCTCTGAGTAGCTGGTAGAACCAGTAACCAAGACAGGAAATAAAAGAAAATCACCTATGAGCTGATAAATTCAGCCTCTGACATGTTGATATTGAGATAATGTAAGACATCCAGTTAAATGCCTTCTAGTCAGAAATATACTGGGAATTCAAAACAAAGATTTGTGCTGGAGCTGTAAATTTCAACACTGTTAGCATAATGAAATGTTTGGGTAATCTCGCAAGGTATATATAGGAACTGGAGAACCAAGATTAAAACCCTGAGAAGCACTGTTTAAGAAATTTGCAAAAGAGCAAAAGTAGAGATTAAGACATGTCAGTTGCTGAACTAGAAAGAATTAACAGAAACGATGTCACAAGGAACAAAAAAAGGAACGAGTTTCAGACAGACAGTGACAAAGATATATGCTCAAAGAAAATAATGACTAACAACATCCCCTAGATTCAATAGAGAAGATCAGTCCAGCGGAGATGGAAACAGAACTTCACCACAAAGGGTTGAAAAGTAGAAAGTGAAAAAATAAAAAGAATGTAGATTTTCATACTGTTCAGATGTAACTCAGAGAAACAGCACTTGATCCAGGGAGAGAGGATTTATTCTGGTATGGAAGCAGGTTACTCCAAGAAAAGCATTAAAACAATGTGTAATTAGCCAGTTGTGGCAGTGCACACCTACAATCCCAGCACTCTGGGAAGCTGAGGCAGGAGGACTGCAGTGAGCTCAAGACATCCTGGGCTACACAGAAAGTTCAAGGCCAGCCTGAACTACATAGTGAGACCCTATCTCAAAAAAAAAAAAACAACCAACCAACCAACCAACCAAAACCAATATATATTAGCCACTCTTTATCCTAGGTGTGTTTGGTTTCATCTGGATCCTTGTGTGTCTTTCTCCCAGTAGGCTTCAGCTGTTTATTGTTCTCAACACTGTACTTCTCCTTTACTGTTTATGTCAAAAAACCTGTTAATCAATTGCTTCTTGGCCTTTTGGCTAAGATCTAGTGTAAAAGACTTATTAATGGTTATAGTCTTCAGCAAAGGGTTACCAAGTAAATGAGAGGCATCCGTTTTTAGATGGAGTAATTTGTTTGGCAGCTATCAAATCTTAGCATTACACACTGATGATGGTGATACACCAGAAAAGACTGAAAGAATATCAATAATGAGAATGAAATAAAAACGAGAAAAAAGAAACAAAGAAGATTTATAAGAAAGGAGAAAGAGGAGGTAAAGAGAGACAAGGCAGAGGAAGAAGAAACAGAAATGGAAGGGAGAGCAACTGTCTGAACACTGGGAATGAAAGGCTGAGTGTAGAAACACGCATGTTAAATTCAACTACAGCTGATCCTAGACCAGGGCAGAGAATCCTTGCTACTGTTCACTTTCTTCCCAGATGAAAGTGAAGTTTCCAGTTCTGCCATTCTCTGACATTACAACCACCTTCCGGGTGCAAGAAATTCAACACTCAGAATTTTCATTTCTCAAATGAAAAATGGATTTCTTATTTCCTTGCTAGTTTGAACTAGTTGACATTCATGCTCCTTACCCTCTTTAATAAACTGATAGTTATCTCAACTGGCACAATCTTTCCTTCTGTAATGTATTTTTCAATGAGTTCGCCATACTGTGACTCTGGGTTCTTCCTTTCATCACGAAGCAGTTCTCCTGCAGAAAGGTGTGTGTAGCCATATTTCTGAAAGAAACAATGCACAGGGGGAAAAAATCAGGATTCAATCAACTATACATTTTTTCTTTGTGCTAATCTCTATATTCCAATTTTTCTATAATAAACAAGTTTTGTTATATATTGAATAAAGGAAAATTTCAGAGAGACTTCATGTAATTCAGCTTGCTGATTAGTAAGCACCCTTACCTTTCTTGGCCTTAATGTTCACACATTAAATCATTTCAAAATTTAGCTACCTATTAATATCTCACATTCTTTCATGAATATAATCAGAAGTTTAAGTATTAATATTGCTCAAAGAAATGTCTAACAAAAATCTGTATGACTCACTAGGCGTGAGTGCACACTTGTAATCCCAGCTATTTGGGAAGCTGAAGCAGGGGAATTCAAATTCATGGCTAGCCTGGGCAATTTATAAAAAGGGCTGGGAACGTACAGTGTAAAGGTCCTGAGTTCAATACCCAATAGTGGAAAAAATGTCTATATGACTCAAGACAAAACCAAACAAACAAAAACCCTTACTGCTGTTGGCTATAACTACCTTCTGTAAAAATCTCTGCTTTCTTTTTGGTACCAGGGATTGAACTCAGGCCTTTGTACTTGTGAGGCAGGCAGTGGAGCCACTGAGCCAAATCCCAGGCCCAATCTCTGCTTTTTAAAAGTCAACGTCTCTAAATTGAGTGGCTGAGGCTGTAACTCAGTGAGAGCACTTGTCTTCTATGTGCAAGACCCTGGGTTCATTCCCCAGACAGGAAGAGAAAAAAATCTTAATTGAATTTATCACCATTTACACAAACTTCATTCTTCTGCTCCCTTCTCATTGTCAGTAACGAGCACAAGTCCTACTTTCTCCTCAGGATCACTCTAGATAATCAAATGTACCCTAAGAGTATCACTGTCTCTCCAGTTAGACCAGCATCTTCCTTACCACACCCTAACATCCATTTCCTGCCTTTCCTTGCAAAGAGAAGTCTTATTTGTCAAATGGGAATACAGGTACTGTCCTTATGATTAAATGAAAATGTATATCAACTGCCTACCACATAGCCTGACATATCTCAGGGGATAAAAGCCATCAGTTACCTCTTTGCTATCCCAAAGATACTTACCTTAAATAATCTCAAATCCTCTTTATATTACAGAGCACCATACAACAATGTTTGTATCAAGGATGAATCGCAGTTTAAGTGGTGGTCCTATAAGATTATAACAGAGCTAAAACTTCTTATAGCCTAGTGACCCTATAGCTGTCACAGTGCTGTAACACAATGTATGACGTGTTTATGGTGATGCTGATATAAATAACCCCACCGTGCCACCACTCCTGTAGAAGTGTGGCACATAAAATTATAAACAGTGCATAACACTTAATAATGAGAATAAATGCTGGTTAGTGATTTACATATTTATTACACATTTTATTGTTATGTTAGTATATACTTCTAATTATAGGGGGTACTCTAAAACAGTACAATAATTCCCTGGTTTACAAATGCTTCTGCTTGTAAACAATTCCGTTCACAAACAAAAGCATTCTGCAAAATTTTAATGATGCTCCTCCTGCCTCAGCCTCCCTGAGTACTGGGATTACAGGTATACACCACGATGCCCAGCTCTCCTGCCTTTTTATAGCAGTTCTTAAGCAGCTGGGCATGGTGGCACACACCAGTAATTCCAGCACTCTGGTAGGCCGAAGCAAGTAGATCTCAAATTTGAACCTAACCTAGGCAATTTAGCAATTTAGCGAGACCCCAAAACAAAACAATTTTTAATAAGCTGGAGATGTAGTGTAAAGGCCTTTAGTTTAATCCTCCCTAGGTATAGTAGTGTGTGGTAGGATAGGTTAGGGAGAGGAACAGTAGGGTAGGAAAGGGTCGGGTCTCCAAGAGGTGTTTCAATGGTTCATTTTGCAAAAACCAATTTGTTTGATTACCCAAGCCTAGATGATGACCCAGGCATTCTTACTTTGGACTGCAGAAACTATACATTTTTTATTTCCCAAAATTGTTGGCTAAGCTTGTTCTTACTTAACAAATAGTAAGCCAGCTGTGAGGCAGTCAAAAAAAGAAAATAAACTCTAAATATTTGCTGACTGAAGTTGGGTATAAAGATGAACAGCAAAAACCACAGTATTACTCACGTCTGTCTCTTCGTTAGACAGGCCTTTCCACTAGAATAAATTATCAAAATGTATAAAACTGGTTAAAACAAGCACACACACCTGTAAACCCAGCACTCAGAAAAGCTAAGGCAAGAGGATGACAAGTTCAGGCCCAGGCTGGGCAATTCAGTGACTTAGTGAGACTCAGTGAGTCTCAAAATAAAAACGGGCTGAGTATACACCTCAGTACAAAGGTCCTAGGTTCAACCTTCAGCAGCAGGGGGTGGGGTAGGGGAGATAAAAATGTCCATCATTTACAAAAAATAGAAATAAATGTAAGATTGTTTCCAGGCACAAAGGTACCTACCTATAATCTCAAGCTCTGGGAGGCTGAGGCAGGAGGATCACAATTCAAGCCCAGCCTAGGCAACTGAGGAAGGCTCTGTCTCAAAATTTAAAAAAAAAATTTTTTTAATTCTTTATTAAAAAAGGGTTGGGTGGTATGGCTTAGTTCAAAGGCCCTAGGATCAATCCCCAGTACAAAAAGAATTGTTATTTATACTGTTATTTTAAAATTATTTCCAGGTCACTTATAAATGTACTTTGATCATTAAGTATAGACAAACTTGAAAGCTGGTTTATAAAAATGGGTGTGCCCTACTTTTCTCACTCATATGTACAATTTTCAAAAAGCATTTTGCAACTACTGTCCACAAAATTTTATAGCAGCTTCATTTCCCACTATTTATTTTGGCTTCGACTTGGAAGTTTCTGCTTGCTGGATGCTCTACTTTGGTCTAGCAATTACAGTGGGGTAATACTGAATAAATGCAGAGACAAACAGTACTAAACAATGGCAAAATGCTCAGGGAAAACACCAATGGTACAGATCACTCTGTAATGCTCTGCTGTATGAACAACATATACATTTACAAGCCCAGATAGTAATTTAGAAATTACTGCACTCACTGTTTGTTTCCTGACATCGGAGACTTCAAATTTGCAAGCTTTATACTGCATTAAAATGGGGTTTGGCATTATATTGCCTTTTTTTTTTAAAGGAGAAACTAGTTGTAAACTATAGATATATACAAATGATAATTTAAAAAATAAATGCACACTTTGTCAAAAGAGAAAAGGACCTTACCTTAAAAGTCCAACAAAACAAGAAACTTAAACAAATATAACCATGTCAAATTTATATACTATCTTTCAATTTCTGATCTGCATTCCACTTTTTAAAATCCTCTATTTAGCAGCTACATTTTTATGTCATATTTTTTAAAGATTTGTTGAAGCATTTGCCCTACCAAAGAGTTTCAACAACAACAAAAAAGCAACTATCATTTACATACTAGTAATTATGGCATTTAATAATAGCTAGACTTTAAAGAGCATATTTTCAAAGCATTCTGCTGTCAGTTAGTACTCACTGATGCCAATTTTGAGGAAAGCAAGAATGGGTATTTTCCAGCTTTAACCAAAACTCTTTTCACATGATCTAAGATTTCCTCACAATTAAAACCTAGTGGGTCACTAACTACAGTCTAATGGCAACATTCACAACCACAGAACCTTATAAATACAATAAACTACAATAGCTAGAATTACAAGCTACTACCTCAACTAAAAATAGATTTCTGGCTTAGGCTTCCCTGGACTCATCTGTACCACTCAGCCACCACACAGTCTGCTACACACAGGCCGCCATTATGGTGAGGCTCACAAAGGCTGGTGAAAATCAGCGTGACTCCAAGAAAAAGGCACCTTCCCCAAAGGAAGTAGAAGATAGTGATGATGAGGAAATGTCAGAAGATGAAGAAGATGACAGCAGTGGAAAAGAGGTTGTCATCCCTCAGGAAAAGAAAGAAAGAAAGAAGGCTATCATGATTCCAGAAAAAAAAAAAAAAGGAGTGAGTGGTTCCCTCAACCAAAATCATCAGTGTGCAACTGCCAAATCTGCCAAGAAGACAGTGACTGACAATGGTCAAGGCAATCACAGCACCTGGCAAAAAGGGAGCTGTTGCCCCACCCAAGTGGGCAAAGAATGGCAAAAATGCCAAAAAGGAAAACATCAATGAAGAGGAAGGACAGCAAGGAGGAAGAGAATGATGAGGAGGAGGAAGATGAAGATGAGGAATTTGAGCCAAGAGTGATGAAAGCAGTAGCTGCTGCCCCTGCCTCAGAGGATGATGACAATGAAGAGGAAGATAACTGGCTCTAAAGAAGAAACTATGGAGACCACACTAGCCAAAGGAGAGAAAGCTCCTGCAAAAGTCACTCCTGTAAACTCCAAGAACGTTGATGCGAGGGAGGATGGAGATGATGATGATGATGAAGATGATGAGGACAAGGAGGAAGAAGCTGTCAAAGTACCTGGAAAACGAAAGAAGGAAATGACTAAGAAACAGAAAGTGGAAGGTACAGAACCAACTACAGCTTTCAATCTCTGTTGGAAATCTAAATTCTGTTTGTTTTTTGTTTTTTGTTTTTGGTACCGGGGATTGAACTCGGGTCCTTGCGCTTGCAAGGCAGGCCACCAAACCGCTGAGCTAAATCCCCAGCCCCTGGAAATCTAAATTCTAACAGAGCTCCTGAATTAAAAACTGGTATTGGTGAAATTTTGCTAAAAATGATCTCACTACTGTGGATTTCAGAATTGGTACAAATAGGAAATATGACTAGACAGACTGAATCTGCTGAAGACCTGGAAAAGGCCTTGGAACTCACTGGTTTAAAAGTCTTTGGCAGTGAAATTAAACTTGAGAAACCCAAAGGTAAAGACAGTAAGAATGATCAAGATGGAAGAATACTTCTGAATAAAAATCTCCCTTATAAAGTCATTCAGGATGAATTAAAAGAAGTGACTGAAGATGCCACAGAGAACAAATTAGTCAGCAAGGGTGGGAAGAGT